GATTTCCGCTTCAGTCTCATGGGTAGGATAGGCACGCACATACAGTGGCACCTGTGTACCCCCCCACTGTCAACTCAAGTCTGTATTTCTCTCTCTCACTGGTTCCCCCTGTTTCTGTCCTCCCTTTCCATTTTACTTTAGCATTGTCTTCTCCCCCGACGCCCCGCCCCCCCGCCCCCCCACCGTTATTGTGTGTATTTAGGTCTGTATGTATTGACGATGATTCGGAATGGTTGGTGAGGCTAAAGTGTTGGTGGTAGTGGCAGTGGTGGGGTGATGGTGGGCTACTGGTTGCAGTAAAAGGCCAAACGAAGAGGGTAGTAAGTGGTTTGAGGAGGCGCGGTTGTTGAGTTAACAGACTGTATAGTGCGGTTTATCGAAACTGAGCGGTTTCCGTTTGCACACTCCCTCATCTCTCGCGCACCCAATTTAGATTGCACCAGTCTCTCTCTCGCTCGCTCAAACACGCACAACTCCGTACACGGACCTATCGCTTGATCTCCATTTTCGTTGCACAGCCTCTGTCTCTCTTCAACTGCAGTGGTTTTCGCGGTTGTGGTAGCGTACCCGCTGGTGTGTGTGTGGTCTTAAGCAGTTGCCGTTCTTCTTCAGCATCTTCATCGTTTCTACGACAAATGCATCTAACGTGCGAATTGACGAGTTTCCGCAATAATTGAATTTCGTAGTGACACAGTACACACAACTCTCCCCCCCCCCACACACAAGCACACCTATGTGTGAGTGTATATATTTACGTGTGTATGAGTTTGTTTCAACCTTCGGTTGAGGTGTGTTGGTTTCACGAGCGAGGGAAATGGAGATAGGGGCGGTCTGTTTCGGTTGTATTAGACGGGATTATCTTCGCCTGTTCCTATTTCCGTTCGACTATCTGCCCGATACACGATGGCACCTGGGTTTCGTAAATGAACTGAGGGTACACACGGCTCGCTCGCTCGTTAGTGCCCGTTTGTGTACTTATATATACACATTCAGATACCGCATAAACACGAGTAAGCACGCGAGCCACCTCTCTCGCATTATTACCTCAACCATTCATAGGGAAACTTGACTTGTTTGGGCGCACATGGGTTAAACTTCCGTTAGTCATTCATCTAGGGCATAGTGTTTTTCCAGTTGTGTGTGTGCGAGAGAGAAAGAGCAGGAATATGAAAGGTATACAAACCATATCGGTTCACTTGGCTTACGCCCGTAACTCGTGGGCACACGTACTGTTCCAGACACATACACACACGATAAGCACTGCGCAAGGGCTTCATGATGGGTGGGTAAGATGAATCTGAATTCTGGAAGCATGCTCACAATACGGTTCGTTAAGTCCTGCATCTTCACCAGAATCTGCCCATGGCCGATTAAAGTTACATGCAGGGAAAAAAACGGACAAACACAGTCGATCCAATCACCTGTCTTCACGGTAGGCTAATGTTCGAGAGCAATGAATGAACCATACACAACCTCGCTCGGTAGGGTTGAAATGAACCCAGAACTAACGCTTCGATATTTCTTGAAATGATGAGGCAATCGATAATGAATTACATGAACAATTTGACCAGGAGGAACTACTTCATCAACTTAGAAAAAATTGCATAAAATAATAACTGAGGTGCAATAAATTGATAAGCGAAGGAATAGGTCTTCAGGTAAACAATTAACTAATTCAGCCGAGAGAATTCCTATTTATCAATGAACTGTGCTCTGACTTACGTAGTTCAGCGGTTCTAAACTCCACCGGTTTGCTTGGTGGTGAGAGCCCGGCCGAACGACTGACCGCGTGTACTCGTACCACATATTCCGTGTAGGGTGTTAACTCAGTCAGATTGTATGAGATTTGATCGGTTTGCGTATCGGGAATCGCGCGGGATTTCGGATCAATATTGGCGACTTGTCTGCTGCCTAGTTTCCCGAAAGCATGACCTCTCGTTTCCACGCTTAGTGTATATGAATCCACCGAAGGGGATTTGCTCGGGCGCCACCACAAAACAGCAAATGTACCACTTATTGGACGAGCATCCAGATCCGTCGGTGGGGCAGGGAGTTCTGTAGATTTGATAAACGGAGTAGTGGTATGTTGTACAACTGAATATACATCGTTGCATGATTAAACGTTCCATCAGAAGTGTGTAATCAAGGTTTCATCGGTTGCAAAATGTAGATGATACTCGATCAATAATGGTTTTGTAAAGCAGCTTTCTAAAGGTTGAACCGAGTAGGAATAAAGTTTCAGTTTTTGATTTCAATTATTTCAAATCTGAAAACATTGTTGTCGAAGGTAATAAATCTGATTTGAAACGATTAGAAAAAACGAACTACGTTTGTGAAAGTGAGATTTACCTAATCACGTATGGGTTAAACAGCGCTGTTCGATCAACTACCCGATATTCATCAAGTGCAATTTCCATGTCACAGTCATCAAATGGGTCAATGAATTTGCACTGCAGGTAAGACACATCAAGCTGAAAGTAATCCTTCGTGACTTTTACCAGCCACATTTCTCTTTCATTCATTTTGTGGAAAAAACAATTTCTGTCATTTTCATGTTTTGTGCAACACTAATCAAGATCAAATCCGAATGCAAAGTCGCCGACGTCAGGGTCAGCGTAATGCTCAGGATTTAGGGATTCAGTTTCTAACCCCTGACTTTGTGGTTCCAGTCCCGGCAGGAAAAACGAAAACAGTGTGCACTGTTAAGGATTTACAGCCGAAAAGAAACAGCTATGTGTTGTTAGTTAGGAGACAATTCCATCGTTTGTAGTAAAAATCGACCAATTTTTCCTAAATGTGTTTTTTTAAGCAGAGCTGATGTGTATCACCGAGTAAACCTAGAGCGAGGTGAAATATCGAAATTTACATAGCATTTGCGTGATGATTACTGCTTGTCGTAAAATGATACACTACGAAATAGCAGTGGCGTGTTTGAGTATAAGCATTACTTTTATAATATTTAAATTGTAATACTGTTAGTATGTCATAACACTATTTTGTAACTTGTGGTAATAATAAGTCTTTGAAACCTTTGTGTCAGTATAACTCGTGAAAAATATTACGAAAATGTTGTCCATTACAAAACATCAGTAGTCATTTTTAGCCTAATAACCAGTGTACAGAACTCCAAACACAGATGCTATGTTCACTGATCAGATCTCATCTACATGCCCAATTGTCTTTTCATCGAGTCAAACCTACACGTACGAAGTAGTTTCATGGAAATTCACGGAGATTCGAGCCCATCGGTAGTGCAAATCCACCGTCGTCGTCCCAAATTTCAATTTCCTACCTCACTCCTGCAGGGCGCGTGTAGCCATCCCGGTTGTGAGCTGGTCGGTAAAGTAGTGGCTTACACACCTTGCATGTGATTGATCTGGAGTTCGAATCTCAGACTGAACAGTTGATATGCGCTACCGATGAACTTCAAAAAAACAATGCTCCAAGCTAGTTCTTGCCGATGACATAGTTGACTGGATAAAATAACGATTGTGGATGAAGATGGGATCTGAAGGGTAGTCAGTTACCATGAAAAGATATAACATTTCAGTAGATCGGTCAAAACGATTTCAAACAGACAAATCAGTGGAGTTGATTCAACCCGATCTTCTGTGAAACCACAAAGGAAACCACAATTCACTTTAAATAATCAGCGTATTGATTACTAGGGGTGCTGTGGCGCTGATACAAAAAATTAATTATATTACATCATACGTCATACATACACTTTTATTTTACAAACCAAAATTATCAAGACGAAAACGAGCAAGATTAAGATATTGAATAGAATGCATAATAAAGATTTGACCAAAGAAATTTCCTCGCGTTATATCTTTGGAAGTATGAGAATAACTCTGACGTTTGATTAACTAATTTCGTCTCAGTTTCTGGTAGTGGCGAAGATATGGAAGAGGAGTAAGTAGCAGTGATGGAATTGCAGAACTAGTGGAAGGTAAAAGGTCTGATGAAATATGGGCGACTGAATACGTGTGGTTTTGAACAATCTCCTTCCACTGCCCACAAAGGAATCACGAAATGCACCTGTAGCTCCATCTTTGGCCAGTTTGTTATCGATGGGCATGTTTAGAATGATTCACTCGCTTTGAAGTGTTTGCATGCCATGATTTTTTCTGACTATCCTTGTGAATTTGCTATTCTACCAAGTAGCTTTACGAAACCTTTCAAGTGATTTAAAAGGCATCTTCCATCCAGCGTCGGCGTTTTTAGTCGAGAACTTTGATAGCTGAATAAATCAATGAGATGTTATTTTGATCTAAACACTTGATTGGTCATCAGGAATAAAATTGCACGGCTGGGCACCTTCTACTTCATCTATAGTATTACTCAGTTCATCATAAATCCTCCAGTTTTCAATAAGCTATTCTGATGAGATCAAACCATTCACCACATAGTTGGGTTAGTTCATCTTACGTAACATTGATTCACTGTTCTCAACTCTAAGCTTTTACCGACACTTCTATCAACACGCCATATACTCCAAATTTGCTTTGGGTTGAAATTCATTAGCTTAACTTCATGTCCGCTCCACCGAAACTCTATCGCCGATCTGTGATAACCCTCTGCTGACTGCGAACTGCCCTTCCTCACGTATATCGATGGGACAAAATAAGCGCTTTGATCAATCAGTCAAGTGGGTCTCAGAAAGATCTACGTGTGATGCATATCTGAAAAAAATATTTGCTTCCCGAAAAGTGTTTTTCTGCAGAGGCTGTGAACCCCAAATCACGGAGTGACCTGATGTTTAGCCTACCGTACTAGCCAGTGAATGTTTATTGAGAGAACAACATATCCATCACAACAAAGCGAATGGATAATAATATTGTTAAATAATGGGAAGCCCTACCTGTTGTTATCGGGTGAAATCTGTAAGTAAAAAACAAACGGACGGAACGGTAGGTATGCTGAGAGACAACGTGTCCATGAATAATTCACGCCTCTCGCAGACCACTCTATTTAGACATCACACAGCGTATTGGGATGCATGTAGAATAGCACCAAGCCTGTATACCGACCACCTCAACGGTATTGCAATGCGTTTTGTTGCATACATCCCAATAATCAGAATGAAATATAGTGTCTTCTACTTTATGATGGATGGCTGTGTGAAACAAGGGATTGGCTTCATTTTTTATTCATATGTTTCTCGCAATCAAGCATATCAACCACACACAGGCACACATCCATACACAACTATTTGTTACCCAAAAACCTCGGACCGACTATTAGTGTGAGGCAAGGTGACCGCGAAGTACCGATCGATAATCGATCAACAGTCAGTCGGCATATGTACATCAATGTTGTCGGTGGAATCAGCAATAAAGAGAAATAGATAAGGAAATGGATGTTTGGCAGATTTGATTTTGTATGGCGATTGTGAAAAGTTCAGTAACCTCGGTGGCTACTGAACTTTTCACAATCGCCATACAAAACAGACAAGCAGTCGGACAACGTTTTGCTGTATACTTGTCGTAGTGTTGTATCAAGCCGTTATTGCAAGCAACGTATGTTATGAAAACATGAAATGAAATCTGTGGGCCGTAAAACGATTGTTAAGTTTCTGTTTCACACTTCGTATATATTTGAAAATATACGAAAATTTCAGTTTCTGTTGTTGGTAGTGTACTGTGTAGTTCACGGTGGATTTAACAGACCGCTGGGCGCTCAAATGCAACAAGTGGCCAACCTGTAAAAGATTACTGTTTTTGACTGATCTAAACCTGGCTAGGTGTCCGAGTCGTTTAGTTCCACTTAACTAATGGATTATACCTTTTAATTTATCATGTTCTGGTAAACCGTGGGCAGTGAATACATGCTGGAACATCTCAAATTAAATGCCTGTATATTACACGTAGCTGGTTAGAGCCAATAACCNAACGTATTGTGTAGATCGTTTCATTACGTGGATGAACGAGAGCTGCCAGGGCGTTGCATGCTTCTATCAGACCAGATTATTGCTTTTCTGGAGTGTTAGTGAAACGAAACTTGTATGACTTACTTCGAGCAGTAACAGTTTGTCAAAATACATATTTTTTAAAGAAACTAGACTAGAGTTCATTTTTGATCCGTTACCGTCACATGCGTTTAGCGTAAAATCTGAGGTAAGGAAAATTGTCAGTAGGTCAAAAAATCCGGCTTAGCGGTGGTCGACTCATTAACTGGTTGACTGAAGGGGGAAAGGCAAGGAACCTGGCGGCGGTCACGGTCTTGTTACAATCAGTCACTCGATTCGATAAGTCAGTCGTGAGTTACACTATCGATCTTTCTCCAGGGAAGTTGCAGTATATGAACGGGCTTTTCTTGCGAGCGTAGCTCGAAATTCAGTAAGTGCATAATGATCACTTCTACTGCCGTAATGTTCGGTGTCTGATAGCTTTCAACAGGATAAGTAGAACGATGCGTGCAATACCAACTGCATTTTTTTACTCCAACCAAATTCCCTAAATATGATAAAGCTGCGGGGACTACAAAGTTAGTTAAGCGATGAAAATCCCACTATACTGAAACAATTAACGAATAATTCTATTTGACCGCATATAACAGTGCTCATAAATTCAAGAGTACAACGTTATGCAATCAGACAAGCTGATTTTGGTGAACAGTACTCGGTTCACCATTATTCATAGTGAGTGCACCCTACCATATCTCGATTGGTGGTCAGCATTTTGTGGCAAGGAGGAGAATAGTATGAAACATTTTTCAATGTCCGCAGCGGAAAATTTCCTTAAGACATAGATGAACGGACACGCCGGATACAGAACTTAGGCTCGGACGATTCTGAAATTGGTGTTCGTTGCGTAGAGGGCCACTCAACAAGATTTCCTGGATGACCGATACCATGAAACTCCATAAGCTCTTCATAATCCTGACACTGTGAATGACAACCTCAGAATCATCGGGCGCTTGTTGGAGGGTGCACCTCAAGTTCTCACGCAATTCGGTTCGACCAATGCGGCAATAGTTTGTTTTACAGCGACAAACTATCGGTAGTAAATTTATGTCCTCTTCAACGAATCAGTCCAGTGCCGCATGTATGTCCCGCCGGTGTATCGGTTTGCCATTATCATTCTACCAGTTAGTCTTTTAGTGAAAACTGGTTTTATGAACTTGATATTATTAACAACCGTTTGCCAGAAACATGATGACTCAACAGATCTTATAAAAAATAAAGTTTTGCATAGTTCGAACCCCATATGAAATAAGGTTGTACTGTTTCATTTGGTATCGATATGAATTGTTTTGACTCAAGGGATTTATACTGACATCACTTTATGAGGTGGCATTTCGCCTTCTGTTGATTTGGAGCACAACCCTTGAATTGAAGCAAGTAATCCCTGACCTGGCTCATTTTCAGTGGCGTATAAGAGATTGACTATTCCCAATATGGTTTCAGAGCAAAAGATAATTATGCCTATCTACACACTAGACGAACTTATCATGGTATGATATTGGAGCAGTAACTGCAAGCAATATGTCAACGACTATGCTGTGTTGTACAGAGATCAGCGCGGTTGTGAAAACTTGACCCACTGGATAAAGCTAGATACAACTACCCAACGTGCCACAGTCATCATAATGACTTAACACGACTATGAAGAAAAACACAAAGCGTTTGATCTCGGCATCAGATCAATCAATCTGTCAGCTGAACGACGGGTTGTGTGAATGATAAATTTTGTCCATCTATCACATTTTCTCTTCTCGAATATATCTTACTGTGTTTACTGAAAGCTTCAAGGAAACTCGTGTAAATTCACTGCAACCACAAGGAGGGGATCGGAATGAAGAAAATCGGCGATTAGGGCCTGGTGGTGGAGTGGAAGCGGCGATTGATGCCGAAAGGGTGGGGGAGTGAAATCCCCTTGGAATAATGATGGTTAGCCTCATTTCCAAACACCGATACAATCCGGAACAGGGGACAGCAAGAATCGAGTGATTTAATGTAAGTCCACATATACCATAAACTAACTAAACTTGACCGAAATCTGCAAAAGCGATCAGCAGATAAGATGGCAGATAAAAAATGTTGACAATCAAGGTTGATGCATGTGATCATTGCGTGCAACAGAAATCGTGCTTTCTTCGTGTTCTACGGAATAATTGGCAATTTGACAGACAGACAAACAAACGATTCATACTCGTGTTTATTTTTCGGGAGCGCATATTGATGTGATAACTAATCTAATCTTTCGGTCATTTACTAATACACTGAATCAAATAGAGAATTTGAATTTCGTCGTCATCGCTTCAGCCGCTGCCGTCGCCGCTACCGCCACCGCCGCCAATAAACATACCCACTTGGGCAACTCGTATATTTCATTGCATTGAATTTTACAGACGACTGAAGAATTCCATCCGGATTCATTTTTTCATTTTGTATTCATTTGGATGATCAAAAATTACTAACGGTATTGATTGAGCCTTTGATGTGCTTCTTTCTGGCTGCTTGTACCAAGTTGATAATCTCTTTTTTCCACGGTCACACACGTACACGGATTGATATTATTTCACTGGCTCCTATCTAACGAGAACCGGTGTGTTCTGTTGTACTCCCAAATGTGACTGACAGATCACCCGGAGGTGAACTAATCCACTTCATTATGTCATGTTCGTGGGGCATAAAGAAACCAAAACAGAATGCGGGTATTATGTTTTACAAGCGTTTCCGGACTACGCCACTGTATTGTCCATCAACTGATTGATTGAAGTAGAAGAAACGAATAGGCGCTTCCTTCATATTAGTTGATTTGTGGGATCAGTTTTGCCGTCGGTCAGTCAGTCAGTCAGTCAGTCAGTCAGTCAGTCATTCTGTCGTTCTCTCTGTCTGTCTGTCTGTTCGCCTGTGAGCATGCATTTTCATATGGAACATAACGGACCATAGAATACATAAGACCATTGCACTTTCGAATTCTCGCTTTGATTTGGAGGGAAAATCTTGCCACACTTTGTATTCACTGAGGATCGTGAATAACATGATGAATCATTTTTTGCTGCGATTAAACAAAGCCGATTTTTTACTCCCACCTTTATAATTGCTTTCTACGTATGAGAATAGTGTCATACTAATCGATATCCCTTTCGTTTTATCTCTGATGTTGTACGTGGGCAAATTCTTCCCTGATTTACTAAGTAAACAAATATTTAGGCATAATCCGTTTAACTGTTGACTACGTGTAAGAAATTCTGGTGTACAAGTATAATCTCTTCATTCAACTTATTTAAACAATTCGTACATTTTCGAAAATATAATCGATTGTTGAGCAAAGCAAACCGTGATCAAATATGAAATGTGCTTCAAAGACGAAATAAATCAAGGTGCGCTCATAAATAAGTTTATCCTGTACTAGATAAAACAGAGTCAAAACGCTGTCAAGTTCGTTTCATTTGCATTTCTCAACGGTACAGTGTGAGTCAGACTGGGGCTTTTCGAGGTGTGATAAATAGTGGATGAAAGGGGTTGTATGATGAAAGAAGTACTTCATGTAACTGAAGGCAAGAAGTTGAATTTAATAATCATTTTTGTCACAGGCTGAATGGAAATAGTCAGTATATATGTATAGACTGACTGTCGGTCACGCTTGGCCTTCCTACTCAATCTTCAGCTCTTCCAGTCAACCTTGCAGTCAGAATAATGTGCTTGAAACTGAAGTCCGTTGACTGCTTAGTTCAATCAGTATCATCTACTCCACATCACTACTCACAGGTAAATGGGTTAAATGTAGGCTATTATAGTGTGTCAGCAATACAAATAAATGTTAAGCGATCGTTTCAGGTTCATTGACGGTCACATTTGGATCCCAAATAATGAAACCTATTTGAGTAACGTGATTACTTGAATAAGATAGTACCCAGTATTTTTCCATTTCCATTAAAATCTAATGAAAGTGAACACTTTTAGGTGTTTCCTGGGAAGGATATATTCATATTTTGATGTCAGAATGAAGTTCAGATATCTAGTAGTTAGATTACCAGATTACCGAACGCCTAAACACACAACACACAATACGTACGTACCAAGGCAGCCAACGGTATGCGCTCAGTTAAACCCCTGTGTACACATGCATGTATATATTTGAAAATGTATAAAAAATAGATTACCTTTTACCACAACGCTGACGTTTTTGCGGACAAGTCCGAGCCCGTTTTTTGCTATACAGTTGTAATCATATGATTCTGTGATATCCGTCAGACGTAGTGTGGCCTCGTGTGGTTGGGGTTCGGTAAGCGGACGTTCGGTCATCATCACAGGCATCCCCGAGTGTCTCGGTCCCGCCGGACTGCCCAGAGTTGACCACCAAACCATTGGTACGGGAAATCCTCCAGCGCGACATGTTAAGTTTGTACCGCGACCCGGAGAAACCTCAACCTTGTCCGGCATCTCATTGATGGTGGGTGGAAATTGGATGCCTACCGAGTGGAACACGTGCGGATAGTATTGGGCATGAACAGTAGTTAGTGTGGTCTGGTGATACAGGCGCATTGTTTAGTTTCAAGCGAGCGCAATCGGGGGCGGAGCAAGCATCAAAAGCACATCATACGGCAGTCAGCAAAGAAGAAAAAGACAGTCCATGCAATGCTTCCTATTTGTGACTAAACAGCAATACAAGCAAGCATCAATCGGGGGTGCAATGTTGGCTAACTACTGTGTTACCAAATAGGCAAATGTGTGACAAACTATTCCGTGTACTTGCCTTGTTGTTGCAGAAAATGGTAAGCGATTGTGAGGTTATCTGTATTGAAGTTTAGCATTGAAACATAATTAGTCAATATTCGGAACAGGAACGAGCATGTGAATATGTGTATTGAACGTGAATCGCCTCAAACGAAGTTTTCAAAATAAATTCATATCCAACGATCGGTTGTTTGGTGTAACCTTGTTTAGGAGTAAACAACAGTCATTCCAATAGCAGCAGAAGCAGCATCGCCTAGTTCTAGATCTAGCTTTACACTACGATAAACTGAATACGTTTCGCCATAAACTACAGAATGTCTAAAAAGCTGAAACGTTACTTGATCCCATCAAATTCACGTTCTCATCGAAATTAATTGCACCCATCGCATCAATGTCGACTGCAAAGTAGAGAGTTCAGGGGTAAAATTGTTCACTTTATGAACCTGGTAAAGAAATAGGCGGCAGTTGAACCAACTTGAATCCGGACTAGGACAATTGTTTAAACGGCGTAGCGTGATGCAAATGATTTAATCTAATCCCACTGGCCATTCATGCCTGCTTGCTTTTGCGCGATTTCACCGATTGCCGATTACGGATTGAACATGGTTATACCACAATGGTGTGAATCTCAAAATAGATGTTTGATTTCAACCTAGCCAACCTAAATTGGGAAGTCATTACCCAGATGAGAGGAAACAATTGAGACTCGAGGCTGTGTGTATAAGCAACATGGGTGTACTCCAAATTGTGGAATTTCAATCGCGATAATTTCGACCCGGTGCTATTTAAAACATCTGGCAGTAATGGGCAATAAATTCGGAGTAATAACGACCCTGGTGAACAAATTGGGATGGTTTATCGAAAGGTATCATTCATTAGTATTCGACATTCCTGATGTGCAATATTAATATTTGATTTCCGCTTGGAATTTTCGGTCTATAGAGTCAAATGAAGCAGTGTCACTGCCTAGCAATATGGATATTTGCTATAAAAGTATATTTATAGTAATATTTTAGAATTATTTAATGGTAAGGAATGCGGTTCTCCGCAAAGGGTATCTTTAGCGGAACACGAGTTGAATAATTTTCGGCCCATGGCGAACACTGGTACATCTGAATTAAAATATTCTGACCAAATTTTTGAAAATGTGATTGACATGAATACTGCTTGACAAAGTGTTGAAAATTGGTTCTCGTAGCTCGGGTGAACTGAATTTTATTTCGCCTGTTCGCCGAGCTTGGCAATTTGTTTGCAAACGTTTCATCACCAGCCGAGGTGACATCATCAGTGCTTGTGCACTGATACTGAGTGATACAAAAACGTCGAAATTACGTCGAATAAAGTGGTGGATTTTCTCTGGAAAAAAATTATTGTCTTTCTTCTCTCTCTATTCAACAAACATACTTTATTAGTTTTAAAAGATTTTACATATCCCAAGGGCCAGGTTTTGAACCTATTCGGTGTAACGAAAATTTCATCAACTCGCTTGTTCAAGCCACTCCTTCATTTCGGATCTGCTAATTTTCGTGTTCCACACAGTCTGAATATGAAATCCAACATTGTCCATCAGGGAATTTAACGAATTCGTTGGAGGTGTCAGTTTCATGATGGGGAAAAAGTAAACGAAAGAGATTGACTGAACTGAGAAGTGTGATCCTGGCTTGCTCTCATCATAGACTATCGTCTGTGGTGAGATTTCGAATGAAGATTGGTTTCTGTCTGACGTGGTCTGGGAGACAAAATGTAAGAGGGAAAAAACAACAGCAGTTTTGTTGTTGCTCTGTCCCCCACTCTCTTTCTCCCACCCTAACTATCTACCTCGCACTCAATCAATGCAGGTAATCGGTGTTCGTATCACACGTGAAACGTGACTCCGGTCCAGTGTCTTGGTTTTACCGAATGCTGTCACATGATTAGCGCTGTGAATGAGGATAACAGTAGACCCACACGCGTGGCCGTCCATAGCACACCGTTACGAAACTATACACGCACACACAAACAGACACACACAAAAAAACATTCGACCGCATTCATAGTTGACACCTCGTTTGATAAAAATCTACCAATGCGTCGAACGAACAAATGATCCGAGGGGAAGAGTGATTGAGAGAAACTGGTGGTGGTGGTGATGATGATGGCGGAGTTGGAGGAATGTGAAGTTGCGGTGATATGTCGACTTTATTTGCGGATAGAGACATGGGAATAAAAACGGGGTCAACCTGGGATCAGAACGGGTTTACTTGGGTGTGAGGTGAACTTACGTCGTACATGTAAGTGCCCGGAATTGCTCAAAACGGTACCGACCACATTACGAGCCATACACTCATATGAGCCAGAATCCGTTTCCAGCAGGGTTTCGATGATTAATGATCCAGAACCTGAAGTGAAAACAACGCGAAATGATGTGCATTGGATTGAAATTTATGAGATACAAATGCAGTCTAAATGTGACTTAAAATATTTGTTCAAACGATTAATTTCTGTGGGTGAACGAAGATTTCCATTCGGAAAACCAGATCTATATGATTTTTCTGAACAAATTAAAACATACTTACATCGGCAAATAATTTATTTGAGCCTTTAAAGAGAATGGATATTGCAATTTTGTCTTAATTCCGTACTTGACTGTGGTAATGGCCAATTTCAGCGTTATATTAAGAAGTGTTTGATCGTAATCCGCCGGATGAAAAACAAACTTTGCTTTTCATACGTCCACAGTCATAGTTATTAATTTAATGAGTAATGGAGGATTTGACCCAATTTTAAAGGTGAAATTCTGCGTGTACATAGCAAATGAAGCGTGAACTGAAAAGGGAGGAAGCACTAGACAGCTGTTTTGATTTGGTCGGGTTTCATCAGCAGTGAGCGAATCCATCGATCCAACTGGGGATCGAACCCGGGACCTCATGGGCAGGACGCAAGCGTAGTACCCACTCGGCCACCGGGCCGATTATTAGACCGTTTATCATTTTCCATGTGCACGATATCGCACAACCCATCTTTGCGAGCTTGTTGCGGGCCACAGACCTGGCTCAACTCAGCGTTAGTCTCAAGGCGTTATGACTCAGTTGGAAACAATCACAACCTGATTAACTGTTTCATGTAACTAATGAAAGATTTGATTCAATTTCAGTTTCAAGTTTCATTGATCGAAGAACAAAGACAATAAATTGACGACGTGCTACTCAACTCTACGGATCCTGAGAAAACTATTTTTTTAATTTGTTATTGCCCTCAATAGACAGTTTTGGAAGTCTAGGATGAAGGTGTTTCGCACTTATTCACTTAATTACAAGTCAGAAAATAGCAGTGACTGAATAATTTAGTACAGGGAACACATCAAGTGATTCTGACAATCCGATAAGAAGGCTGTATGTGCATTACAAGCAGATGCCAATTTGGGGGGAAACACGTCGTCCGTCTATGTGCGGACATGACCGTCTTTTATAATACCCGTCCCACCCCGATTTGAATTCTCATCTATGAAGTGTCCGCTAATCTTAGTCGCGGCACAGTGAAATTTTATATGTGCGTAGATGCGTAGACGCAGACCCTCGGGACACATTGAAAGGCGAATTTTGGCTGAGGCTATGTTGTGGTATTCATGATAAGCTGGTCCTCTGACTGATTTGGTGAGAAAAGTCTGCGACAAATAAATCAGCACTTTAATCAAACCTCTTTCTCAATGACAGGCACGCATAAAAACGGGCAAGTGTGTAGAAGGAAGCATTTCAATTCAAAACAAAGTCCCCAAAATTCTCGCATTTGCGGAACAGTATGTTATTCGGACACAGGAAGTGGCTATCACTGTCTATGTTGAAGAACTCTTACACCGATTGTGTATTGCTAGTCAAAAGGTGGGAAAACCACTCCCCCAGAAGGAACCATACAGATGTCTATCTAATCGACTAAGCCTACGATTGCAATTCTCAAAGTGCAATGAAATACAATAAGGTGACCGAATTTTCCAGCTCGACAAATATCTGATGATTAGAGTAACATTGGGAGAATATACTCACGCATTTCAGCCAAACTCCATTCATTTGTGGGCATAAGCAAGCATTCGGTATCCGCATTATTACGGTATGGAATGAACGCGGAAGACCAATAACTTATATTTTTTGTGATCGATACGTGTGGAGCTGGAGAGTCCACTGCTTCAATGTCGGAAGCATTGGACAGTTCACGGTTTCCAGGTGAGTGAATAAGTAGCACAAAGAAACCCTCCTACATGTCATCGTTTTTCTGACAGCAGTCGGCCTTCTGTGACAAGTGGAAGATTACAGTCCAGAGTATTTTAATGTTATGGAGATAATGCTTTTTGAACTCATTTCCCTCTAAACTAAAGTGCGCATTCATCGGTTCAGAGCGTACACTAAAATGAGCAGTGAACTAATGTGATTTCAATGCCCGACTGCAATGATTACTTGAGCGGTTGGTTACTATTACTGGTACTGCTGCTACCACTAATGCTACTACGGCTACTACCTAAAGACACGCCTCAAGTGGGCTATGCATCTTTGTCACTGGCGTGGAATATAATGGGATAATGATGAGTTGGCGACAAGGCAAAGTTTCAGTTATAAAATGATCAAGTGGAAGGTGCTTGCTCTCAAGTCAAATGGATGTTGGTGCATAAAAGATATGAGTCATTGTGCAAGGAGCCGACGATTCTGGTGCGGTGTGGGAAGAGTGAGGCGGTTTTTGTCGACAGACGCTTAAGTGGTCCAAATTACCTGTAGACATTGAATGACCTGCTATGGAACAAAAGATAACCCACATCTTCCGGGACGGCAACACCCTAGCTTCTCGCTCTAAAGAATTCCAGTAATACGAACTGTGGCATCCCATTAGCTGCCTACCACTTCAACACTGATGGGACCGTCTTTCTAAAAAATATGGCAAACTGCAAGAATCACAAGCTTTGGCGTGCCTGAGAAGATTGTTTGTAAATTTTTTTTAATACAAACTTCTCAAGTTTACTTGTCGATTTCTGGAAACAGCACGCAGAGTAGAAGATTCTTTCGTTAGTGACAAAAATGGGTGTCATAAAAGCTAATTAGTTTCGCTTCGGACAAACGGCTGCAATACTGATCATACGGTATTAAGGCTTCCCTATTTCAGTTGCTTCTTTTATTTATTGTGCACAGCCCCAAGGGAGTAGACAGAACCGCGCATGATTTGACCAGTAGTACATGTTGTGTCCACTTGATCAATACATTTACAGTTTGTGTATAAACTTCCATTGGTTCCCCACAAACAAATAGTTCCCAAAACAGATGCTACTTTGCCTATAACTCATGTGTGCATCATTAAAATTCGTTTTTATATAGTTGTGGCCACCGAACTCTGTCAGGCCCAGACAAGTTTCGCGAAAGGATCATTTTAAAATCGGATCATTCGTCCAGATTTCTCAGATTGTTGTCAAATCGTTTCCGATGCGTAACTCCAGTTTGCTCATCATCGTGTGCGTTTGTCCCCTTCTTGTACAATCGTCTAAGCCTGTTGGATTTGAAGGAGAAAATTTCATCTTGCTTTCTCTTTTCCGATCCCACTAAGACTATATATGTTTCATAAATTCTGCTAGAAGTCTTAACGTCCTGTTGTCTGGCTGATTTTATTCAAGTCCATCTCTTGAAAGTGAGACAAGGGAATGGGAATGTTTGGATTATCCTATTCGATTTTTCACAGGCACCAAGCACTGCCGAGGATCTTGGGTATAGATTGCACTCCTTTGGAGATCGTGAATGGATCAAAGCTATATGCGTTTCAATACGCGAGAAAACTTTATGAGCAATGGACGGCTGTTTGGATTAACCCATTCATTTTTTCTCAGGCATTCACCGTCTGAATTGAATGAACCATTCGCAAATGGTGGTGAAAGTGTACCGAGTAGCTCAGGAGAAAGTGTGCCAACTCCTTGTCCAAAGGTTCACTGTTCCAGTCCTAATGGATACATAAGAAGTACGCGATGCAGGCGAGTCCCGAATGGGACGAAACAGCTGTCCCGCTCTCCTTGTCTATCATCCTAAACATTTACTTCGCATTCGAAAGCGCCTTCCGTTTGTTATATTTTAGCATGAATAGCAAGGCATATTTTAACCATAAAAACAATACGATGTCAGTGTTCTGTTCTCTCTAGGCTTACGGGCGGTTCACGGACATTAGAGTTATCAGAGAAGCGATTTGTGGATTCCAAATTCAACACATTTTTGTCATCTTCATAAAGCCACCGGACAGCTGGGACGATTAATGAAACTTGTGTTTGGTGTTTCAATCACACAGTATTCACGTTCCTGAAGTTATAGATTCCATCATTTATTCATTACTGATCACATAAATCCTATTGATAATTGGAAACTCTTGAAAAACACTGCTTACATTGGGTTTTTACTCACAAAATGCATGAACACTGACTTCACTCACATGTAACGCAGTGCTAAGAATTCTCTGTGGAACTCTTAAAACAGCTCAAATTCACACAGATAAAAGAGATACAATGATTAATTTCCCGATACTTAAAGATGAATGCCAATGAAACTGTAATTGAGTTTGTCCATATTAGAGTATTTATCCGAGGCAAATAAAAGCCCGGATGAAATTTCTTATCAGTGCTCAATATTTGGAAACTAACAGATTCTTACATAATGTCACATGTCCACATTGACCTCGAGAAAATTGTTTCGGTCTTGAGACAGATGGCGGATTTTGCAGCGTTTCAAAGACTTACAACGCTGTATAGTTGAAAGTGACTCCCACATGCGTGCTTATAAACTGAACTAGCTGTTTTTCACGACTGAGGGGTCAAAACATTCATCTTTTTGATGTACTTACTATCTTTCTCTTTTAAAATCGTGTGTACTTTAGATTGGTAGTCACTCTGAAATAAATCTCTTCTTTCATGATCTTAGCACAATAGTTCAATAAGGAAAGATCACGTTCTTTAATCGACCTAATTGTTTCCCATAACAAGATGAGACCTTTTTTCTACTGCTAAGTGAGCAATATTCATCATTTCTGAAACTTGCCACTTTTGATCCTCTGTCACGGTCACCGGAAACATCACTTCCGTTAATGCCCGTTGCCACATTCTCGTTAGGTTGTCAACAGCAACATGGAAATATCGATTACACAAGATGAGATTTGCAGTGTCATTAATGAAATTGTGAAGACGTGAAATGTCACCAAGTGTTTCAAATTTCATTGTAGTTTCGTACTGATGAAAGGAGATCACTTGCCACTTGAAAAAGGTAAATAACCATTAATCACCTCAACAGTTTCACAAAAGATACCCTGTGTTAAAATAACCTATTCGTTCGGAATGAGTTTCTCATTTTGCCCATACGACTGATCGTCTGATTTCGAAATATGGTATTTTAGTTAGCTCTGGCCCTGTGCGGGGTACACTCCTCTGAAGTTCGTTGGTTTCCCTACACGTGGAATTCATTTCATTTTCTATAGAGATCCTTGCGATGACCGTCAGAGAGCCGTGGACAGTGGCTTGATCTCGAATATTATCAATAAAGTACAACAAAATACAGTGAATCGAACCTCACAGGTACCCGTCTAACTCTTCATTTGCGCAGTAAGTTTGACCGTGCAAGATGAATGGGGACTAGACCTATTTTCGGGGATTGGGAAAAAATTGAATCCAAAAGCTGATTTTACGTATCCACCTCCTCAGGTTTCCTGACCCGATACGAAATGACACCACAAGCACCACTGCTCTGGGTCGGTTGCGATTTCTCTCGTTTTCTTCAATCAACCAGTTCTAGGGCGTTTTCCACCCAGTCCGGAGCACTCCTCCTAATCCCTCAGTGCACCACTTCATGCCTCGTCTCTACTGCTTATTGTTGATCTTTCTGTGATTGTCGACAATCTGGAGCGGCAACTGTAGACAAGAGTCGATGCTGAAGATGAGAGGTTGGCAAACAGACGTGATGATGAATTTCCCAAAAAAATATACCCAAATAAAAGAGAGAATACTTCGAGGTTATTCACTCGCTCTCTCAGTTCTACCTGCGCTCAAACACACATCGATTGTCTCAAACCTCCAGTAGCTTCTAGTAGCTTCTAATCGCCGTTCTTAAGCCGATCTCGGCTTTAACTATGTTATTATCATTCGTCCCTCAGGTTTATTTATCAGGTCTATCTACAAAGACCAGTTAATTTTAACCAATACCGGATCAACCAGTTTCACAGTAGGACTATAAAAGTGCAAAGCACTTCATGTAAAGAACAAATAATCAATTGGTCTATCCAGTGTGTTTTGTGCTTCCTCAATTCATTTGAATAAACCAAAGTAGTCGGCGCACTCAATTTTGGCATTTGGGATAACATTTGGGGCCCATCGCATTATTTCTTCACGAGGAAATTGAACGGCCAACTGTTACTTGGTCGATCACAGTCAACCTACCGCTGGAAAAGGACGGTTAAGTTGCGGTCTGTCGAGCTCTATAGCGTAAGTTGGCAGTGAACGGAAACAGACGGTGATCTACGCAGATTCGAATATGATTATCACCGTGAACCGTCTTCTGGTATGACAGAGCACAACAACGTCCTAATCAGACATCTGAAACGATGTGTTTTCAAACGTGCGCGGTAACCTCATCAGCCAGTACAACTGTACACCTTCTATGGTTCAGTCGGATGAGTTCGGTGAGTTTGTTGCAGAATTTACTCTTTTGTGCATCGGGACTGTAGTTAATTATATACGAGAGGATAAATAACCCCCCTTTCCTGTTGCTTCCCTTCCGGATGATGGCTAACTCCCGGAGCTGCATGACCCATGAAGGAGTGATGACGAGATTCACTCAACAAACGAGGCTTCGGCTTTATTATTTAGTGCAATACCTACTCATTTGAGGCCTACTGAATGGGTTTTGTCGTCAGCTGATGTGCGAAGGAAGTGTCTGTAAGCTGATTTTGGTTCACTTAAGAAACTCATATTACTCTTTTCCTGCATTTGCGTCTCCGATGCACACCAGAGTTAAATTCCTAAAGAGTTCATTTTTTCGCTCCAGACAGGCTTTTGGTATGAGAGCCCTCATGTTTAGGACTCTCAGATTGATAAGACTTCAGATTACACAAGTGATTTTGTGCTAAGCTACTCACAGATTTTGAAAGGTGAATGTTTGGAATAACCCATTCGGTTCTTCACAGACACCAGGCACTGTTGATGATCCTGGGTGTGGGCTTCACTCCCATGGAGATCGTTAATTCCCCATCAGTTTAACACAGTCAAATACAATGGAAATCTTGTGGTGACCGACAAAGACCAATGGACAGCTGTTTTGTGCTGTGTGAGACATTCGCCGTCCAAATTAATCGAGCCATTTGCACGACGTGATGACCGTCGACCGTGTAGCTCAGGGGTATTGGTTTTAAGTCCCAACAGACGGTTTGTGGTTCCAGTCCCGATAGAGATATAAAAGGTACACACTGCTGACGCATCCCAAACAGGACTAAACAGCTATCTAGTGTTCTTTGTCGGCCATCGAAAAAGATTTCCATCGTATTTAAATACTTACAATTTTATTTGTCAAATAACTTTGGCAAGTAAGGGGCAAGTTCCTTGAAGAAATGTTCCCTTTTGGAAGAATGAGCAAAAGGAGATTAGATGTGGAAGACAGATAACTAACCTAAATTGGGGATATCTAAGCAATGACCCAATTACTATTACCTACCCCATTCAATCCAATGGATAGTGTGTCCTTGAGTATTCCACACAAAGACTGNTCAATCTGGTTTGTGTTCATTGAGGCTTGTTTGGTAGACAATACTAAGGAGTATAACCCCTAACCGGGAGAATTTTTAGAGTTTTAAAGTAAAGTCTTTGGCGCTAACTAGAATAAAACCACCAAGCAGCGGGTAAATCGGATTGGAGGTTCATCTATTTAAGTTAATCATTTTCCCTTCTCTGGTACCAAATGAGACTCCAAATCACCTCGAAACCCCAATGTAGAGGAATAGGAGATTAAATTGTGTCTGACTTCTACCCAATGATCATTCAGCACGCTAAGTTCATTTGAAATGACAAAATCCGTCCTAAGCATGTTGCGGAATCACAGCAATAAACTAAGTATTCTGAGAACTCATGTAGCTGTTCGCTGAAGATATGAACCGTCGACCGTGTAGCTCAAAGTTATGAACTTACGACTCAGACCAGAATGTTTGAAATGGTATGTATGAGAAGTTCATTTGTGTACACTGTGTGTTGATCATGTAGGTTCACCTCCTCCTCCCTCCCTCAAAATAGATCCAATCCCTGCTCATCTTACAAATTACCACTAACTTTGTATGCATTGCGAGTTTAGGAGCGATCAGTGAAGTTCGCTTCGCTATGATGATGATGACGATGAATTTCGACGCCTAAACGAACGGTACTTGTTTCAAAACTGCAAAATATTCGAAATCATCATCTCTAAAACCGGCATAAACTGTTTCAACTGCACCTTGACTATTTAAGAAACATTTAAATCGAACTGATTGAAGCGCATCCTGGGTTGTTCAGCTGAAGGTAGAAAAACGAAATGAGGCCCCAGATATAGGCAACCAATGGAATTACATCATTTGCTTTTCTACCAATCAGATTTATAAGTATTGCAACGTTTTTATTACATACAGTTACCAAAAGTAGGATTGCTTAACTTCATATCTACTAGAACCTTTTGTGAATCGGAAAGTCGCGTAAGGGCCTACAAAACAAGCATCCTATTCAATCTGATGAAAAGAAAGCTGGCGAAATTTGTTTGGCACTTTTACGATCGAAGGATATACATTTAACCATTTCTGAATCCGGAAGGGTTGGGTACTTCAGATCATAAAATTAAATTGGTGCCAGTCAATTTCTTTCGTTGTCTGTATCCCTGATGATTACGTCTGAATTCACGACACAACCAGGAGACTGGCAATCATAATTACATGAAATCACCTTTCAAGTATTCCCTATATCTTGTTTACTTTTTACATACTCCTTTAGGGATGAGGTAGTAGTACCTTTGAGATTGTGCTCAATAAAAACAAATATCTCAGTTCACTACCTCGTTCAACCGAGCAATTTCTCAAATGAAAGTATTGACGTAACTCGTGCGCACCCTAATTTCCCCACCCCACGCCCCTCGTCACGCCTAGTGTATTGAACCCCATTCACGGGAGTAACTCAGATGAGATGCAACATATCTGCAATAGTGGTGGTTGAATATAAATAGTGATAACAGAGAGTTAAGGACGTTGCAGATGAACACACAGTTCGTAATAAATTCTCTTCACCAAAGGCTACCGATACACAAGTGTGGTATTGAAAACTGAAATAAATGATTCTAACTTGAGGATCATGTAGGACGGGTTTGGCCAACGTATGTAAGTTCGAGTAGAATGTTTTTATTTCGTAACATGAGACGAGAACTGAAAATCAATTTATATGCATTCTAACTTACCAACTAGGCGGAAGCGAGAGGAGGATGTGTCCACCGGATAGAACTGATCTTTAATCCATGAGACAACGGCTGGAGGGTCGGCGGAGACCTCACATTGTAAGTGTGTGGAATCACCAACTTGACTAATCGTTGCCGAGGGATCTTGTCGAACTTTGGGAAATCCACGAGGTGGGGCTGTCAGATTTTGGTTAATCATATTGCATGTGTTGTGTTTGGTCGGAGGCAGTTGATACAAAAGTTGAAGAATGGTAGAGGAGGGGGGGACGTGGAGGAGATGTTTAGAACATAGGTTATCATTTCTAAACAAATAAGGGATATCTATAAACTAAAGCATACACAAGTGCAATCAAAAAAGACGATCAACTAAGATTGTCAATTGTATCATCTTGTTTTATGCATTATCTGGAAAAATGGAAGAATTCCCTGTGCTAATCTGTGATTTCGAGTCGGACACCTAATCTTCAGTTTGTTGTACAAAGTCTTGAGTGTAGACAAATCCGAACCGATAATTAACTGAAGACTTACACAAACAGAAAACTGGTGGAATTAGTTCCATTCATCCGCTAAACTGAGATCAGCAAAACACCGTCATGAGGACAGAGTCAGTTCTGAAGCAAATTTTGCAACACTGCATCGGGGGTTTATGTATGATCAATTTAACCAGACGGCGGCAATGGTCAAGTGGTAAAATAGTCTAAATGACTAGCTGGTGGTCCTGAGTTTGAACCAGCCCACCGTCACCCATCTTCACGTTATCTGCATTCTCCCCACCCAGCCTTTTTATGATCATCACCCTCTTCCTGAAAATGTTTTACACATATCTATAAGCAATAATCAAAAAGGAGCTTAAAAAATTAAGTATTACTATTATTGTTATTATTATTACTAAAATGAGATTTGTATTGGTTTGCTGAAGTCAGCTAGTCGGATGGAAAACTGAGTAGAGCAAATAACTTGCCTTTTCTAATAGATCAAATTTGGTGTTCAGTTCAACATCAAATGCAACGGACTTTCACACCACATGGTAATACGAAACGAAGACAGGATAAATACCCATTTTTGTTAATTATCTAGAGACGTTTCCTCGAACTTCAAACATCATCATATGAATACTTTTTAGCCTAATGACCTGTGTTTTCGTAGCCAATGAAGCGCCATTGCACAGGATTGCGAACGAGTAGAGATTGAGCTGCTTTTAACACTATTATTAAGCCTTAGACGGTTTCTCTATTTCAGCTAAGTAATCCACCAAATACACAATATGTGATAAATGTAGTTGTGACCGGCTTCAGATGAAAACAATATGCTTCGCTTGGTCTGCATTACAAGGGATTGAAACCAGTGTTCTTCTTTTTCAAGCGATAAATATATTTCTATGTCCGTGGGATTGGAACCCACGCATGGACGCCGCCTACGCGTTGTACGCGCATGCTACACCAGCTGAGCTACGAGGTCTTAGAAGCTCATTCGGTGGACTCCGGTGAATTCTGGGAAAAACCTGTCGGGGCAGTCAGCTTGCATGCTAACTAGTGGATGCCGCATACCTCTGTAAGTTGGATGGGTAAATTTGAATGTAAAGAATTAAGTGCCATCGGTGTGGCCTCGTAGCTCATCTGGTAGAGCATGCGCGTACAAAGCGTAGGTGGCGTCCCACCGAGGCTACTGCACTTTTCACAATCGACATAGAAACTTCAAATCTGCCAAACAACAATTTGAACAATAAATATTTGTTTAAACGAAATCATTTGCTCTCTCTTACTCTTGATAATAGTGCAACCCCAAGGTGCACGCGCAGTGGTACAAATATAAGTACCGCAAAAGAACCTTACTATCAAAGTAACCACGTCCGCATTCAGTCGCAGACTACCAAAGATACTAGCAGAGCAATCTGGAGCTTCATACAAGCGATAGATCTTGAAGAACACTATCCAGAACCCGGTCACCCCGTAACAAATCGCAATGATCCAAAATCTATAACAGTGTGAAAATAACTATATGGAATGCTCAAAGATCGATATGCTTTTCACAATGACAACGAATCACACGGTCTGTAGTCCATAACAGTAGTTTTGAAATCAAAATTTCTGCCATGCTCTCTTTCCAAATGTAATAATCTACAAACGGAATTCAACTTATTTCCCAAGAATAATTCCGGCGAGTTTGCAATATTTTCGTAAATATAGAGTAATATCCAAAATCTTCGGTTAGACGAATAGTTTGATTGCGATTCAATTTACACGATTTCAAAAGGAACGAATCATGTTGACAAAAAATGTTCACTTATGTTGTTTCCTACGATAGTATGAATTAAAAATGCAATATTGTGTGTATGTTGTTTTTTTCGGTTGTGTCGGCTTACCTCCTTCCGGTCCTGGATCTAACTGAGACTTAAAAACTATTTTTCTTATACCCGCATGGGTTAAAGCAAAACAAGAAACATTATCGGCGTCCACATAACATTAGACTCCTTACGGACGGCAAAAAATGGAAATTTTGACGTTGTTTATCTAAATCACGATCTGCCAATCTCGGCTGGATGTCAATTCAATTTACAGCGGGAAAAACACGCAGATTTTGCAGTTATTCTTTTTTAATTACCGAAGGCGCGGGCAAACCGTGAGCAGAAATTTACACTTCCTTCCATCGTGTCATCAGCTAACTGAACCGTGAAAACAGACTGGACTTTTTTTGTGGCGATAGTTCGTGCTGTTTCGGATGATCCAGTTGCGTACATTACTCGATTCCAGCTGATTGTGCGTTCCCTTTGCTCTCGTCCAGTGTATTTCAAAACGCACCTAGCGGAATTTGCATACGAACTTGTGTTTATTTATTTATCAGCAAACATTAGCGGATGCGTGAACAGTTATGGATGTGATTTAATTCATGACCAATGATTGATGTGTTTCTGTTTCCCCCAGATCACATAATTGTATCCCTTCATTCAACCTAGTCGTTTCTCTCACGTCTTACTGACCTCAGCGAGAACACATGGACCAACTCGTGTGTCAACTCTGTCTCAGATTAGAGTACTGCCTTTCAGTTTATCTTAACGCGATGTCAAGCGGATTGGAAAATAAAAAATACAAATTTAACAAATGTAACATTAGAGTTGTGAAACGGTTTGGTTTCTAAGCTAGAAAACTACCCCTTTGAAAGTCCAATATATTCTTCTTAGCTTGTGCGATGCACAATTCCTTGTATTTTTAGCTCCCTTCAAACAAAATCACTCAATCAGTAATTGAGTCTATTCGTACGGCTAGTCGTCGGTTATTCATAACACATATACAATTTTTGGATCCAGGAAAGTATGAAGTTAGAGAAACGATGTAGCCTCAAATGATGTTAGCTTGCGTTCGAACCCGTCACCAATACAGCCAAACTTGTAAACATTTTATTGCATCACACGGAAGCCCTTCGATTGTCCGCTTAAAAAGAAGAACAAGAATATTACATATACACAGATACACATACATATGATAGAATAGTAGTAACGACTCGTACAGTACAGGAATAGCTTCTCCGGAAAATAGTCCTAAAGAAATTCATGGACAAAATACACATTCATATTATGAAGGGATGAGATTCTTCACCAGAGTTTATCGAATACACGTACGTGACGAGCGGCGACTATTGCAAAACCGGTGGTGTGCTCCCGGAAGAGCTTAGCCCAATTGGTAAGCTAATGTTTATTGCAATGTGTACATTTATTGTGTCCATCATTTTCGTTTTATATATGTAACGTGGGCATGATGCATACAAAGCGAATGGATTATTCGACCAGACAACGTTGGAAAGCTTTTAGCAAAGTTCACGTGATGCGTATTATGTTCGGAATATACCTCTCTCTCTCCGCTCATTTATCTCTATTGCCGTACACATAAACCTGCCTAACTGACCAAAACGTTCCTTTCTCATTTGCATAATAAACAGATTTCATGTTTAGAATATCCCACCGAAGCAATGTTTCAACAAAAAGTATAAAACTAAAATTGTTGAAAATATACTACAGCCGTTTTGTATTTGAAATCTTAAGTGGTTTCACAATTGTCATGGAACAGTTCTTCGGCAACTTTATTCTGCCCCCACCACGAACAACACAGAGTGCTGACATATTCATTTACCGTTCTGAACCATTGGTGAACATCAGTCATTAAATCAGTCAGCGGTTTAGAACAGTAAGTGTTTCAATCTTGCTGTCCACATCGGAGAAAAAACAATTGGGACGAGTAAATGGAACGAAGTTAAAGACTGCTAGAATTTGTGAAATCGCCGGGCAACAAAAGGATAGACGGTGGGGTGGGGGTGAGAATAGAGTGCGATAGTAGCGTTGTACATCCAACAAAAAATCGATGATGCAATTAGCGAATGAGACAGTTGTATAGCGAGGTGTCATGCAAACCGACAGAAATTACCGGGATGCAACAGTAATCATATAAAGTTAACCACTCCGACACTGTAGTTCTATCAGGGCATCCTAAAGCGTGTTGATTGTTAGAAGGATTTCGTGATTGATGTACCCTATTCGGCTTTTATTTAACCTTATCCCTCATGAAATTCATCTATGAGGCAATCATGAACCAGCGATTCACACTGATTGCAGGCAAAGCTTTATTGGTTGCTTCAGCCACTACTGGTAAGCAGTAAATCTCTTTCGATGAGGTTTAAGATTAGATAAAATGATACTCCATACTTACAAACCAATTCCGAACCAGCAAGATTGTGATATATGCCAAATGGACATTACCGATTAGTAAGAAGATCAACCGCAATATTCCGGTTTGGGTTCAAAAGGACTACGTAACTGAGATTGGTTCTGAAAGATTATGCATCACTTCACTACTAAATATTTCGTGTGGAGTTAATGCCTGACAGATGATGAGTTCAATTCAACTCCATTTATGTCCTAATTGTGAAACGTTCATTAGTCTTGATGGGATTCGAACCCACGCGTGGATGACGTCCTCACTTTTTACAGCGCACCCTCTACCAACTGAGCTGCGAGGTCACATCGATAGCACTGATGTTTTCACTTTTGGATCATCCACCCAACTTACGAAGACATTTGGAATCCACCAGGTAGTATGTGAGCTGACTGCCATGACCGTTTTTCCTTATAATTTACTGGAGTCAACCGAATGAACTTCTAATGTTACTTATCCCAATTCGCCAGTCCCAAGAAAAAGCTACTTGAATGTG